TGTTCAACTGACTGAGCCACCCAGGCACCCCCTTCTTTTCTTTAAAAAGAATTTTGTTTTAAATTTTTTTTAGAGAGTGCAAGCAGGGGAGAGGGGCAGAGAGAGAGAGAGAGAATGGGAATCTTAAGCAGTCTCCACGTTCAGTGCAGAACTCGATTTGATGTGGGGCTTGATCTCACGACCCTGGGATCATGACCTGAGCCAAAATCAAGAGTCAGATGTCTGACTGTGCCAGCCAGGTGCCCCGATATTTTTTCTAAAAGTGGCTCTGATCTATGAAGAGATCTACCTCTCTGAATTATATTTGAGCCTCAGTCCTGGAGACTTTTTATAAATGGTCTTTTTGGAACCATCAGTGATTTATAGATTCTTCTCTTGATGGAGGGAAACTTCCTTTTAATGAATTGCCGGGAAATAATCAGGAGCATTTTGAAGCACCTAATGTGCACAGGACTCTTTTCATAGTAATGGGCTTGGAGAAAAAGAAATGGAAGACATCTTTTATTCTGAGATGCTTTGAATATAAATTCACACACACACACACACACACACACACACACACACACACACAAATACTTCTGAGGAGAGGCCCAAAGACTGTGGTTAAATACCATGAAAGAGGTAGGAACTGAATGCTTTAGAGATTCAAAGGAGAGATCACTTCCAGCTAGGGTTAGAGCCGGGTTAGGTTTCAGGAAGGAGGCTGCCTTTGAGCTGGGTCTTGAAGGTCTAGGATTTTGATAGGTGACATTAGAATGGAGGCTGTTACAGGTGGAGGAGAAGGATGTGTGTGGGGATATACATGTTCAGGAAATAGTTCACATTAATTGGAGTATAGAGAAGACGTAGCCTGATATTCCCCATTTCAGGAGATTGGGAACACAATCCCTTCAGCTACTAACCCAGAGAGAAACAGCTTCTCTCATATTCATATCCAGCAGTCAGTACTCCTGTCCACACAACCATCAACGTTGTTTTCCAGAATCCAAGTAATTCTTACTACCTTCTCCACCACAGTCTTGGTCCAGGGTGCCATCATCTTTCACCTGAACTATTGCAGCAGCCTCCTGGCTGGTTGTCCTGCCTCTACCATTGCCTTCCTACAGTCTATCCAAAATAGCAGCCGGTGTGATCCTGTTAAAATGCCAGGTCTTGTCTTCCTGTGGTCAAAAGCCTCCTGTGGCTCCCCATCTCACTCGGTGAAAGAACACCTCTTCCAGTAGCCTATAGGGTCCTATGTTCTCTGATTCCCTTTTAATGTCTGTGACCTCATTTCTTACTACCCCTCCCCCTGCTCACTGCATTCCCATCACATTGCCTCCTTGAACACCCAAGGCCTTTGTACTTGTTACTTCTTCTATGTGCAATGCTCTTTCTCAGATACCCTTATCTCCTTCAAATCTTTGCTTCAGTGTCATTTTCTTAGTCCTTCTTTGACCATGGTATGTAAAATTGGAACCCTTCTGCCCACTCCCTCCCCCTGGCACTCTACTCTTCCTTGCTTTCTCTATGGTACGTGTATCTTCTTCCTCTAAGAGTATGTAATTTATAAGGTTTCTTGTCCAGCTCCCTTACTAAAATGAAATATCTTAGAAGGCAGAGTTTTTGCCTATTTGCCCACTGGTGTATCTCAGCACTTGGAACTGTACCTGGCATGTTGTTGGTGCTCAGTAAGATGGATGTGAATGAGCGAAGTGTCACAGGACTCATAAAGAGGAGAAGTATTGAAGAATTCTACAAGGATCACTTTCAGCCAATGAAGAAGGTGCTATTGAATGGAGCCTGAGAGCTGTAGGATTTGCATTCTTGACTATGTCGGGCAGGCTGTCAGATCCTCTGTCTGTCGGCCCAAAAAAAAGGCTCATCCTCTAGCATGCCTAAGCCTTCACATGTTGTTGGAGACAACAAAGCGATTGGTTCAACAAAAAGAAAAGGTTTGGTGTAGGGGAGAGGATCAGAACAAGGCTGGAAAGACCGAGGCCAGGTCAGGGAGATACAGAAGAAACCCTCATTTGGCCTCAAGACCAAATGGAGGCATGCCCAGGCTATTGCTCTTTGACTTTTGATGAGCTGATGAAGACTTTATTAGCTTCTCTGTCTGATGTCTCACCTTATTAACGATTCCAGTTTTGAAGGGCTTCTGGGTTTAGATGCTCCTAGGCCTGTGGGACAAATCTGGAAGACTTAGAAGGTTCTAGAGTTAGGCTGTCCAGTAGGGTAGCACCAGCTACGATGGGCTAACTACATTGAAATTAATTAAATACAATTAAAAGTTCAGCTCCTCAGTTGCACTAGCCACATTTCAAGTGCTCAGTAGCCATCTGTGACTACTGGCTACTGTATTGGACAGTGCAGATGTGGAACAGTTACATAACCACAGTAAGTTCTGTTGGGTTGTGCACAGTGAATGACTTGAATTTACAGTACCAGTTCATTTTGGTATCTTGCGAAAAAGAATTGGCCTGCCTACCTATTTGTTTGGGCTTGACTGATGCCTTTGTCACTTTTTTTTTTTTAAAGTACCTAACTTTTTAGACCTAGTCTCTGTGTTTGCAATTTGTGTGACTTACAAGGTAAACAGTTAAACACATGTGCAAATGGATATAAAAACATTAACCCAGTAGTCCATTCACACTGTTAGAATGGCTATCATTTAAACGACAAGAAGTAACAAGTGTTGGTGAGGATATGGAGAAAAGGAATTCTTACACACTGTTGGTGAGGATGTAAATTGATGAACTACCAATAGAACTACCATATGATCCAGCAATTCACTTCTGTGTGTTTATCTGAGGGAAATGAAAGCACAAATCTCAAGAAGATATCTGCACCCCCCATGTTCATTACAGCATTATGTACAACAGCCAAGACTTGGAAACAGCCTAAGTGTCCATCGATGGATGAGTGGATAAAGCACATATGGTATACATACAAATATACATGTGTATACACAGTGGAATATTGTTCAGCCACGAAAAGGAAATCTGTCATTTTTGGAAACATGGATGGACCTTGAGGATATTATGCTAAGTGAAATAAATCAGAGAAAGACAGATACTGTATGATCTCACTTATATATGACATCCAAAAAACAAACAAAAAAAAACCCCACCCCAACTCTTAGACACAGAAAACAAACTGGTGATTGCCAGATGTTGGGGGTGGGCCTGGGGGAATTGGATGAAGGGTGTCAAAAAGTAGAAACTTCCAGTTACAAGCTAAATAAGTCCTGAGGATGTAATGTACAACATGGCAACTATAGTTGATAATGCTGAATAGTATGTTTGAAAGTTGCTGTGAGAGAGGACCTTAAAAGTTCTTATTACAAGAAGAAAATTTTTACAAATACAGTATCTAAATTGAACATACAGAGGATGAGAGCATATCTGGATGTGGAGAACAAGTGATAAGACATCACAGATAATTATTAAATTCCTTCAATAAAATGACTATTACCAAATAAAATCAGAGCTGTTTATATTCTGGGCTTTCCCTGCTGATGGAAATGCTGCATTGGATATTCCTCAGCACTCCCTTCTTTCAGAAAGATCCCTCTTGGTAGAGGGCCTGCTTTCTCTAATACCACTGTGAACAAAACAAAACAAAACAAAAACAAAAACAAAAACTTCTCTAGCTTCAGTGAGCCTTATTTCATAAGTATTTCTTGAGAGGAGGAATGTATTAAACAGGCAATGTTTTTCTATCATGTCTCCTTTAAATGCAGTTAGGGTGCAGGGTTTATTTTTGTATGTTCTGTTAGAGTTGAAATCGACTTGGAAATACTTCTACTCCATGCTTCATATTTAAACAACTCTTCCTCTTCTCCCCTTTCCTTTA